TATAAATCAATATCAATATTAACTAACTTAAAATTTGTTAACATTATATAATATATGAAATATAATAAGAACAAATAAAAATGAAACATATTATAAAGAATATATAGAATATTGATATTTTGTTTCCTCCATAGATATGAGGAATCTGATGAAAAAATAAATATATAAAACTTTGGTTGTGTTTCGTTTGGTTGCAGATGTATTTATATAACTCAATATAAGGACATTCAGGAAGTAACTAGTTAAATTTCAATATCAAAAGAAATTATATACAAGTTTCTTTAATCAGTCCTTTTAATATAGATTGAAATGATTATACATTTTTAATTCTATTTTGATAAATATATTCAAGATAATTATATTTGAATACAAAAATTTATCCTAGTTTGAAAAATGATTCAAAAACTTCAGTAGATGTTTAAATTTGGTTATAAAATCTCTTTTGTGTGTTCTATGATTTACAAATTGAAAAAATAATATAATTCTTGAAGAATAATTGAAAAGAAAGAAATTGGGTTTGAGAGTACAAAATATTTTCAGGTAAGTTATAAATCATAATATTCCTTTTTTTTGATATAGATTATGTAGAATATCTAAGAATATAATCAAAATATTACAAGATATAATATGAAAATTAATTTTTCAACTAAATAACAAATTAAGTTTATCCTAACTTACTAAATAATGAATCATTATTCAAGCTATAGTTTAAATTATTTATAATTACTTGATTAATTTATTTATATAAATAATTAATTAAAATGTTCTAATAAAAACTATTGTTAACTAATTAAATAGTAAAATGTTGAACAACAACAACAGAATTCTTAATGTATTCTTTTATATCAAATAATTTTACATACTTTAATATTATTTTTCAATTATAATAATTTTAAAATTTAATAAAATGACTTCATTTATGCATCTTCATATAGGAGGAGCAGATGTAATGGTTGGAGATATCTTATGGAAATTATATAAAAAAGAATAAAAGGACAAGAGGCCTCTAGTAATTATTTTAGAAATTATAATTTGGGTGGAAATCTGATATATGAATGTTTAGAATCTATTCGAAAGGAAAATAGATTATGAAGATCGATCTTTAATAATTTCATCAATAAGGAGGAACTGATCAGGTTTGCTATAAAGATAAACAGAGGATTATGGAAAGAAAATAGAAAAAATACATTTATATTGTATCCTTCCTCATAAATATCAAATAACTTTATTGAAAGTTATAATGCAGTCTATTCAACTCATATGATGACTGAATATTATAATTCTGTTTTTGCATTTGATAATTAAGCCATCTAGAATGATATTGATAATTAGACAGGATTGGATTATGTTGATTATAATTTATTAAATAATATAATTGCTTAGGTTATTAGCATGTATACAGGTATAAGAGGACATAAAAATACTTAATAATATGATGTTTTCAAATATGTGTCCATACCCTTCATTTCATTTCCTAACCCCATCAAATGGATCAAAGGCAAAGGATTAAATATAAATGAATTGTAAATAATCTAGTTTATAGAAAATTGTTTTTTGAAATAAATCATTATTTTAATTTTAATTTTCAACCATATGAAGTTTAATTAAATTAAATTAAATAATTTTAAAGTAAATTGATATCTTATAAATTCCAATATGTAATTTAGATAAATCAATTAACCAAATCATCTATGTATATTAGAACCAAATGTAAAACATTCATCTTATTTACTTGATCAAAATATGAAATGAAGAATAATTATAAATAATAAAATAATTAAAATATGAATCAAATAATATTTTTGGAGCATTAACTAGTTATGGAAATTATTCAGTAACTTGGGATTAAGTTGGACAGAAATATTATAAATATGAATCATATTTAATTGAATATAATCAACAATAATTTTACAAATTTTATATCATAATAATTGGATTATGATATATATATATACAAATGATTATGATTATGTAATTATATATGGCTCATTTATTTTAAAAATCATTTCAATTTGTTTTTGAAATCATACCTAATTTGCTCCAACTAGAAATGATTTTCTTAAATAGAAGATATTACAAAATTGGTCCTAAAAGCTATAAAAAATAGTTGTATATCCATAAGGTTATTAATTAACTAATTAAATTACTCTTATATTTAATCACAATATATTAGAATAGAAACTCACAAAAATAAGATCTATTTCACTCAAATCCGTAATAGATTAATTCTTTTTAAATAATCTTTGGGTGGTAGTATCTTTTTCAACTCTATTTTAATGATGATGAAAACATTTAACTTTTGAGAATAAACATAATCAGGTTCAATTATATCTGCTCAAATTCTAAACACTCCTGTTGGTATGTGGATCATGTACTATAATACTGTTAACACCCAGCTCATCAATCAAATCATAAAGAACATTCTAATTCAAATAATTATTATTACTATTTTATGCTTATGATTAGTTACTCATTTATTTTTAAGATTGATTTTTATAATACCTTATTATGATATTTAAGAATTAGTTTGAAGTATATTACTTGGTTTTTGTATTTGTTATAATTATTTGATTGATTAAGATGATCTATTGGGTATTGCCTTCAAACTTAATTTTTGCATATAAATTAATTGGGTTCGAAAATGGCTTCATATTTAATTTAATTTTTCTTGATAAATATAGGATTCTTATGAGATATGATATTTCAAATAAATAATACAGATAATTCAAATTAAATAGTAAAATAGTTTCTTGAATTTGAAGATTTCTTTAAGTTATCTTGGTTTATGTTAAATTTTTATAATATAAATTTATTATTTTAATTCCAACTTTTGAAGTTTCATAATAGTAGGTCGATCGGAGATTTAAATTAATAAAATTTTCCAGGATCTATGTTAAAGAGAATATTAAACTTTGGAAGATGAACTAATAGGGTTTAAGTTTATGGATATTTAATCATGTCAAGCAAAAAAGATGAATTAATTTGAATAAAAGCAGTAACACAATTATAGAAACTTGATATAGGAAAAGAACTCCTAAGATTCCGAAAACTGTCTCATAGAAAAACTAACAGTTAGACATAAGTCAAAGATGGAAATTAATTTCTCTAATAGAATTTCTATTTAAAATTTGTGATAGGAAGATACACTTCTTTAGACAATGATATATAAAAAGAACACTATCTTTATAAATTAATACTTAAATAACGATGGTTATGTCAAACATTTGCAGGCGATAATGGATAAAGTAAAAAACTAAGAAAAGTTAGGGATAGAGATACATAATTATTATGAAGTCTAATTAATTTTTACACATAATATTCAGAAGCTGAAATGAAAAGAATGGAGTAATTAGGAAAAAATATATCTAATGAAAAAATCCTTATATCAAATACAGATTATGAGAATAATCATGATACATTAATATAGACTAAAGATTATGCTATACTAAGATCCTCCTTTGATTTCTTTTGCTGGACAGAATGTAAGAAACTTATTAATTTCATTAAATTTAAGGATTATGATTTTCATAAAATTTTATGCTATTTGTGATATTCAGCCTTTTTACAAGAATACCAAATTGTGTGGCTTTTCAGAAGCAACAATCTATTTGAATAGGAGAAGACATTCACTAGAGATATAAATGTTAATAATAAAGCTTTATTTAATTAATCTATCATAATATATAATTATAATAATCTTATTATTCTGTTTATCTTGCCAAAGTATAAAAATTAGATATTCTTAAAAATGCTTGAAATTATTCAGTATTAATCCATTTATTTAACAAAATTAATTAATACTTTTCTATGTTTATTTATTTTAAGGAATCATAATAAATATTTTTTAATTTTTAATTTTTGGTTATATTAAATTATTTTTTTTCAAAATCTATAAGTTTATCAGATA